CTCGTCAAGAAATTAGAAAAATTGAGTTGGTAAAGATTTTTAGGAGTGACCAGTGCAGAAATTTTTTAAAATGCCAAACTTATTAGAATTTAATAATATTAAATAACTGAACTGGAGGAATGTCCCCGTCTAGTAAGTCGTATACATTCCTATTCAGTACCGCAACAGGAGCTCTTAAGCAACATATGACCAAAGGGTGTAATTCTCATATATATTATCAGCAAATTTCGAAAATTATTACTGGGAAGTTTATTTTCTTTCTGACCAAAACGTCTAAAATCTAATTTCAAATTGTCCGCAGGCTTTATTTTAATAGGCTATTAATATTTAATAATGTTTAATCAAATATGATAACTGTACTTACAGTTATTTTTCAAATGATTTTTTCGCTTTTGATAGCCCTAGATATTTTTAATTTTTTTGGCTTATGCGTTAACGTACTGATAGGTAAACTGAAACTTTGAATGAAAAGAGAACCTCGTGTCGGCGAGTGAAAAGCGCTTTTTGTTGAGCAGCCCTGGAAGCGATAATTCACTTCGGCATGATCTAAATTAACATAGATTAATCGTTGAAATTTTGAAAAGCACGATTGGGATTTTTATCACGTCTTTTTCTCACACTTCCGCAGTGCTTCTCAATAGCCCATTACCAATAAATCGGTATGGAGACTTTTCCTCGTTTTTGACTTCCACGGACCTCCATGTGGATTTTCGGATTTGATCTGATTTCGGGAATGTTTCTGCAAATGAACTTACCTATCCAAGACGTTGGAGCTTCGAACTTTTTCCATATCATCTGCTCGTCTCTCAGAAGCTGTTCTTCCATTACCAAGTTCGTAGCTTGTTCGTAAATCTGCCGACGATTTGCTCTTTTTTCTTGATTGTATGCGATCCGGCATGTTTCTAGATCCACTCTTTCAACGATTTGATTTCTCCTCCAATTTAGAGTTTATAGAAAATACTGGCGTTTTTTCTGGGAGTGGACCCTGAAATATCGCATTCATTCAGCAGAGGGCTCCTTGAAGTACGTCAATATCAATCTACAATCGAAACACATGAAAGAATCGCAGTGGGATTGGTTGTCCCACTGGCGGAAAAAAACTTTCAACCTTCTGTACAACGGCAATGCTGTTTTGTCATGCCCGCCAGCCCGAGTGTGAAGAAATATTTTAAAAAAAAACAGCAAGGGTGAGGAAAAATATGTTCGTCGAAAAAAAGTTTTACAGTGATCACATTTCTCCCTCTCCG